TATCTGAACCAATGGCTTGGTGGCACCCCTGAAAAGGACATCAAGGCTCTCTTTTCCACTTCCTCCATGTACAGGTAACACCTAACAATAGGTGTTAATTAGGTGTCAACGATAGTCATGTGATATATCAGTCACATGGAGGCAGTGCTTAAAAGCCTGAATTTTGCCTGAAACTCTCAGACTGAAGAAGTCTCTTGGAGGAGAGACGAAACGTTTCATTAGAGAAGAACCAGTCTAGAAGACCTATACATTTTTTTTCTTTTTTACCTGGATTACTGAGATGCATCAGGACATGTTCTTCTTTATATTGATATAATTTCATAATTTCAAAGCTATTTAAGAGTGCAGTTTTAAGGATAATACAGTTTTCCTTTCCATTTCTTGTCTTACAACCACGACTTTGAGGTTGGTAATTTATTAAGACAAATGTGGAGCACTAAACAAAAAATGTCACAAAGAAAATGTAATGTCTCAGCTTGCTTGCACAATAAAGTAAAACATAAAATGCGTTTGGTAAAATGTGCAAAGGGAATACCACACTAATAGCCCAGAACTCTGAGATTTAGAGGGCCCCAAAACATTATTTTATGCTTTTGAATGTTTCCCTTCGTTGAAGTCTACATTAAGAACTAATATCTTAAAGTGGGTTTTCTGATTAGTTTGAGATTCGTACATATTAGATACAGTGGTAGTTTTACTTACATTGTGTAATGCTGAGCCATGTTTTTTAAATGTTCTTTAATTTTTTTTTTTCCGTAGATGAAAGCAGTGTTGCTGTTTTATTTAACTATTTTATATTTTTAACTTCATCCCAAGGTGCATGCAGCTCTTCTTGGTTGTAAATTATATCCAACAGCCCATTTTTCATAAACTCACGATAGCAGTTGCATCTGTTCGTCCACACATATACATCAGCTACTTTTAATTTCCATGTTTAAGCTGACTGGTTTTCGCTGAGTATAAACTCTTACACATTTTATGTAGCGTCTTTTATGATGAAAATGTGTATTGTAAACTATGAGAAAAAACACAGGGAAACAACATATAAAAGAGATGGTGTTACTGTATTTCATTCTGTAAATGCCAACATTGTTACAAAACATCTCTTCTGCTACAAAGCAAATTCATTTAGAGACGCTTATCTCTGACATCAGAGAAACAAGATGGGAAGAAAAAAAGTCAGAACCCATGGCCCTATCTTCTTTTAACAGGATGTAGTTATACAACGTCAACAAATGCAACACTTTCACAGGTCTGTAGATACAGTGCAAAAACCAAAGTCATTGAATCCAGTAAAATAGCTGGGTTTGCTCTCACTGACAGTTGAGTAAATTAGGATGTATCAAGCACAGACGTTTGCTTTTTATTTCTGACCAAGGCCACCCAACAGTCTCTGAGAAAAACCCTCATTTATTGTGCCTGTTTAGTACAATAGCTTATTAACTGGGATATTATTGCCTCTGCTGGAGGACACGAGCATCAAACAGCTCAGTGTGTTTGTCAAACATTCATCTCTGCAGATATTAGAAATGTAGTCAGCCAACATTTTATATAAAAAACAAAAGGGAAAAAATGAAATGCAGCCAACTAGTGTTGGTGTGTTTAAAAAATAGCACTTGATAAAAGGGTCCTAATTCATTTGTTACAAAATGTGAAACTTTTTAAGAGATTTAAGGTATTTCTACAAATTGCCCTTAAATACAAGTAAGGTATTTTGATGAATATGTTTTCATCTGCCTTAAAGTCATTAGAAAGATACATGTTGGTATGTGGGACATATTAGTAAAATAATAAAAAAATCAATGTCATAAGTAGAGGAGCATATTGTACCGGTGCAACCTGTTAGGCAAAAGTTTTAGTTCAAGTAAAGGGTTTGTGTTCGCATCACCTTCATGCTCCAATAATGCTAAGCCAAGGTTTCCCTTTGGCAACCCTCACCTCCAAAATCTGTAAAAAACTAACAGTAAAAGTGCTTTGGCAACAATTCAAGTCTGTCATTTTCACCACACACACACACACAAACACACATATCAAAGAGCAGAAGAGATCGGCTGAGTTAAGCTGCTCTCTGTCACATTTTATCTAATAACAAAGATGCTCATTAAGACTGAAACTCAGTGTGCCATAAAAAGAAAAAAAACTTAAGTGGTTGTTCAAATCTTTTTAAGTGTGGTTCTGTGGAAAGGGCATGAACAGGTAGTATCTTACTTGTTGCAGACAGCACTTTGAATGGTCTCAGTCTAGAGAAAAATCGGCTTGATGAGCTAACGGCTAATTTGGACTAAGACCAAAATGGGTTCTTGCCATCTCAAGTTCATGTGAATGTCATTTTATAAATATTTACACCATTAACTCTGGATCATGTGGTTATTTACACTGGTTGCTGCTATTTGCTTTTACAAAAAAACACAAGTATAAATTTTAGATTAGAGCCATTTTAGGACAATACATCACTTCATCCCTCACTCATATTAGCCATTAGCTCATCAATCTGATCAGAATCAAACTATTTTGCCAAACTGAGGTCAATCAAAGAGCTATCTACAACAGATCAGGTATTAATTACCTATAAAACCATAAAACCCCAGCTCAAAAAATCTAAACTATTGATTTAGTGACTTCTGTTATTATTCTTGGCTGTCATGTTTAAAAGCTGCAATATCTGAGCATGTCTATGCCAAACTGTTGCCACAATTATGATATTACAGCCTTTTCTTTTAGCTGAGTGCAATTACTTTTTACAATCACTACATCTGTCTTTGAACTTCATAAGAAGCAGCTGGATTATAAAAAACAAAACGTGATCTATAGACCTAACACTGCACACAATTCACCAAATTTACCCAGAAACTGCAGCTGCAGCTTCAAATAGAAATGTATGTTTTTTTGTGTTCATGTTCACATTAACAGAATGCTTATTTAGCTACATTGTGTCTCATCACTGTATTTATGTGGTAAAACAATACTGAATTTGATTGTCAATTTAAAGTAGGTAAGAATATCTCAAAAATTAATAATGAAGAATTTAAATGGGTTTCATTAACTCTATTGTTAACTTAATGTATAAAAGGAGATGATGGTTTAATTTTAGGAGATTGGAGCTTAATGAACAATTAATTCTAACTCAGTTAGCAATTATAACAAATCCTGTTCAGTATTTACTTGATTTTATGATAAAAAGTTTAAAACACAAGATATAAAATATAAAAAGAAACTTAAAAAATAAGTAGTATTTAAAAATGGGTTTGTTTTAGTGACTCGTGGAGCTGAACAAATGAAGGTTAAACGGCCCTCCAGCAATGTATCTGGTGTGTTGCTTACATTTACAAAATATAAAAAGGCTTAAAGGACAACAGGCTACATATGTTGCACTGCTGCTCCTTAAAACACTCTGAAAGCCCCATAAAATATCCAAGGTTTAGCGTCAGCGGTGCTCCTGCAGTTTGAGGCCGCCTCTTTTTAAGTCAGCATGTGAGAAAACTAACCGGAGCCCAAATTCACACTGATTGGTTCTTACAAAACTCTTTGTGAACGAAATAACAAAATCTCTCCAGGGATCCCAGAGGCCTTTTCTTTTCTTTTCTTTTTTTTTGTTTTGTTTTGTGCCATTTCCCACCCTTTATATGAGCCATAACTGTAAACCCGCTGCTGCAGAGTCCTCCAGCCACTGGAGGGGAAGAGAGCGAGAAGAGGGGAGCAGGCCATGTGGGAACAACAGGAAAGCCCAGACTTCACGAAAGACGTCTTATACTAAAAGGTCCTGTAATAAAACACAAACAGGATAAATTAACTTCAAATAAATTACAAAAACAATGAGTTAGAGTTAATTAATAATTAAGCACAGTTCCACACCTGATCTGAGTCTTCATTGAACTGTGTTTTTTCTGTCTCCATGTAGTTTGTGTCGACATCATCCACTCCTTCTATTTTGTTCGCTTCCACATGTTCCCTCATAACTGAGTATCTGTGCACAAGGAACCTACAGAAAAACAAACAAAAACAGCGTATTAGTAAGGAGGGAAAAAAAGAACGTCAGCAGTGTGRAGGGTAAGGTAAGAACGGATAAACTGACCGTCCTCCACAGACGTATTTCTTAACCAGCCAAACGCCTGTTACTGCGCTCATCAGGAGGATGGCGATGACGACCATCACTATGATGGCAGTATTTGGTGAGCTGTATTCAGTCTGCTGTTTCCAAAGACAAACAGTGAGAGGATCAGCAACAATAACCCGGATGTACAGGATGAGTTATTATTACATTAACATTTTAATAAAATAAGATTATCCTGCTGAGAAACTGATATCAGATCGTTGGCAGCTGCAACAGCTCAGATTATTTGTGTTTGATGCATGCATATTTATAATGGATGCATTAAAGGGGCAATATCATGTAAAACCAATTTTTTGAGTTTTATATCATGTTATAATGTTATACTCTTATAAAAGACATGCGCATTCATGCATGTTGGAGAAATCCTGCAGCGAATTTAGGCAGCCATGCTGAGGAGCAAAACGACAGGTGGGGACCAGAAACGACTCTGGGACGTGTCTTTGAGCCGAAGGGCACTCTCCTCATGGCAGCCCCCCCCCACCCCGCAACACACACACACACGCACACACACAC